GACATATTTCACTGAACTACAACAAATACTTCAAAATTCATATGGAACCAAAAAAGAACTCGAATAGCCACAGCAATCTTAAAAAAGAAGAAGAAAGTTGGAGAGATCACATTACCAGATTTCAGGTTATACTACAAAGCCACTGTAATCAAAACAGCCTGGTACTGGCACAAGAACAGGCATATAGACCAGTGGAACAGAACAGAGAATCCAGAAATGGACCCAAGGCAATATGCTCAATTAATATTTGACAAAGGTGGCAAGAGCATACACTGGAGTAAAGACAGTGTCTTTAATAAATGGTGTTGGGAAATTGGACAGCTACATGCAAAAAAAAAATGAAACTAGACCATCAACTTACACCCTACACAAGGATAAACTCAAAATGGAAAAAAGACTTATGTGTTACTCATTAATCCATAAAAATCTTAGAAGAAACTGTAGCCAACAAAATTTCAGACATCATACGCAGCACAATTTTCACTGATACATCACCTAAGGCAACAGAAAAAGGAGAAAATGAACACATGGGACTACATCAAACTCAAAAGCTTCTGCACAGCAAAAGAGACAGTCATCAAAATGGAAAGGCAACCCACTGTATGGTAGAGCATAATTGCCAATGATATATCAGATAATGGGTTAATTTTCAATATATAGAGAGTGTTCATACAACTCAACAAAAGGAAGACAAAGAACCCAATTACAAAATGGGCAGAGAAACTAAACAGATACCTCTCCAAACAGGACATACAAATGGTTAAGAGCCATATGAAGAAATGCTCAACATCACTAATCATCAGAGAGATGCAAATTAAAGCAACAATGAGGTATCACCTCATACCTGACAGAATGTGTGCCGTCAACAAATCATCAAACAACAAGTGTTGGCGAGGGTGTGGAGGAAAGGGGCCTCTAGTACATTGCTGGTGGCAATGCAGACTGGTGCAGCCACTATTGAAAACAATATGGTGTTACTTCAAAAAATTAAAAATGGAACTTCCATTTGACCCAGTGATCCCACTTCTAGGATTATACCCTAAGAAGCCTGAAACACCAATCAGAAAGAATATATGTACCCCCATGTTCATAGCAGCACTATTTACAATTGCTAAGATCTGGAAACAGCCCAAATGTTCATCAGTAGATGAAAGGATAAAAAAGCAGTGGTACAGCCCTGGCCAGTTTGGCTCAGCGGTTAGAGCGTCGACCTGTGGTCCGGAGAGACCCGGGTTCGGTTCCCACTAAGGGCGCGTACCTCAGTTGCAGTTTGTCCCCGGCCCTGGTTGGTCGTGCGGGTGGCAGCCTCTCGATGTGTCCCTTCACGTCGATGTTTCTCTCTCTCTCCCTTCCTCTCTCTCCCTCCCACTCTATCTGTACAAAGAATGGAAAAATATCCTCGGGTGAGGATTAAAAAGAAAAAAAAAAAGCAGTGGTACAAATACATAATGGAGTACTATGCAGCTGTAAGAAAGAAAGATCTCTTATCCTTTGAGACGACATGGAGTGGCCTGGAAAGTATTATCCTAAGCCAAACAAGCCAAACAGAGAAAGACAAGTATCACATGATCTCACTTATTTGTGGAATATAATGAACATAACAGTCTGAGGAATGGGATAGTCCCAGAGATGTGGAAGTGGGGTACAGAGTGACAATCCCTAGAATAGGGGGTGTTGGGGGAGAGATAAACTACAGAACTTATATGCATGTGTGCATGAACAATGGATATGGCAACAAAGCTGGGAATAGGGCGGTGAGGGAAGGGCAGGGGGGAATCAGTAGGGGATAAAAGAGAAACATGTGTAACAAAAATAAATTAATTAATTTAAAAAAAGATTGAAGTGGTTGGAATTGTTCTGTTTCAGAACTGCCTACCTCTCACATCATCTCTCATCTCTTTCTGATTTGCACTATGTGCTTCAGCAATACTGAAATGCTTAAAACATTTTACATTCTTTCCCACTTTTCTGTGGCATTTCTCACCATCATGCCTGTGTATCTTGCTATCTAATCTGCTTGGAACACCCCTTTCTCTGTGTCAGCAACCAGCATACTAAATGTTTTAGATGCAGTAGTCCATTTAATCCTTATAGAATCCTTCTGAGTTGTATACTGTTACTTTCATTTTACATACAAGTGAAGGAGGCTCAGAAAACTATGTCAACTTGCTCAAGGACACACAGCTAGTAAGAGGAGCCAGGATTTGAATCCTGATATTTTTTATTCCAGGGTCTGAATTCTTTTGTTAGTCTTGTTCTGAGAAGGTGCAAGGATTTCACTGGGGAAGACCTAAGTATGAGAGAAACTGGGAAGGTTGCTGGAGAAGACTTTGAGAGCCATCAGACTGACATGTAAATCTGACCCCTGGTCAAGGGAAAAGGGAAATTATTAGTTGGGAACATGCAAGATTGACATACAATCAAAGAAAGGTTCAATAAAACCTTCACTGAGTCCTTGAGTCAAAGTCTTCTGTCAGTGGAGTGCTACATCTCCTTACAACAGGCCTGCCTTAGTGCCCCTGGTGTGCTTAGTCCCTTATCTAGAATCAGTTTTGTGTGCACTCGGTGATAAATTTCAGAACACAGCACCTTGGGCCCTTGTTTATGTACCTTATAGTTCAACGGTTCTCAACTAGGATGATTTTGTCCTTCCAGGGGACATTTGGCATCATCTAGAGCAGTGGTTCTCAACCTTCCTACTGCCGCAATCCTTTAATACAGTTCCTCATGTTGTATGTGGGTGTATCTGCATGTGGGCAGACCGCCCTGGAGATGATAGGGGATTGGTGTCTTGGTTCCTAAGACCATCGGAAATCACATATTTCCGATGGTCTTAGGCGACCCCTGTGCAAGGGTCTTTCAACCCCCAAAGGGGTTGTGACCCACAGGTTGAGAACCGCTGATCTAGAGACATTTTTTATTGTCACAAATCAGGGGAGAATTCTTCTGACAGTCTATTGAGTAAACACACGATATGCTCCTCAACATCTGACAATGCAGAGGATAGCCCCCACAACACAGAACAATCTGGTCCAAAATACCAATAATGATGAGGTTGAGAAATGCTTCTGTAGTTGGAAGTCTGCAAGGTGCATTTTCATTGTTGCTGCAGTTCTCCGCCTCTCCATCATATAGCCTCTACCAGTAATGCTTCTCTGTCTTTTCCCTGACACTCAGTCCATTAGGTATTCTTCCTCTTTTGCTCTCACAGCACTCTGCATACACCCATCATAGTACTTACCAAACTGCATTATTATTTCATGTTTACTTGTTCTCTTCCTCTATGAACTGTGAGAACCTTGAAGGCAGGGGCTCTGTCTTTCTTTCTTTTCTTTTTTCTGTTTTTTTTTTTTTTTTTTAAATACTTGCACCTAGTCTAGAGTCTAGTACCTACTACATATTTATTAAATAAATGATGGTGAAGCTATGAAGCAGTTTAATAGTAAATGTTCAGTATATGATGTGTTGTCACATAACTCCTTTTCAGGACCGATCTACTCTACTGGCTCCCAAAACCCTCTGCTTGGTGGTCTCTAGTATAGAAAATTCCCTTCTGAAAATTTTCACTTGACTGTCCTGTAGTAGCTCAAATTTACTATGCCAGTAATAAAATGTATGGTCCTCTCCCAACCTGATTTTTTTTTCTATTTTCACTTTATCTATGATTAGACCCGTTATTTATCCAATTATTGAAACTAAAAACTTGGGAGTCATATCTTTTTCCTCATTCCTACCTTTTACCTCACTAAATCCTAGAATTTTCTTAATATCTTTTTTCTTAAAACTTTTCTTAATATCTCTCAAATCTTCCTCCTTTACTCCATTCCCATTGTCATTGCCTTAACAGTGGCTCTCATCACTTCTGGATGATTGCATGAGTCTCCTAACTCATCATCTTGCTTCCAGTCTTGCCACACAGATTTACACTCTGCACTGCTACCAGAATGATAGTCTTAATACACATTTAATTATGTTATCCTCTTGCCTGAAATCCTTCAAGGACTTCTTGTGAACATCAGGATAAAATCCAAACTTCTTATCATAGAGTCCATGATTTTCATGACCTGGACCCTTGCCTGGCTTTCTAACCTCATCTCTTATCACTTCTTCACACATACCTTTGGCTCTAAGTGTTTCTCAACTAGGGAGGATTTTGTCCTCCAGTGAACATCTGACAATGCCTGGAGACATATTTGGTTATCACAACTCACGGAAATGAGGTTCTACTAGCATCTAGTGGGTAGAATTCAGGGATATTGCTGTTAAACATTCTACAATGTACAGGATGTCTCTTACAACAAAGAATTATTCAGCCCAAAATGTCAATAGCAATTGTGTCAACTACCTATAGTTCCTGGGATGCCTTTCTCTCCCTTTTTCATTTGGCTAACTCCCACTTGCCCTTACAAAAGTTTATTTAATTCTCACCTCTTCTGGGAAGTCTTTTCTTTGCTCCCAGTCTAAATCAGATGTCCCTCCTTTGTGTTTCCATGGTCCTCAGTGTCTCCCTTCTCATATCACTTATTAGACAGCATTACTGTATTTTATTGTCTGTTTCCTGGAGAGACTGAAATCTTTGACAGCAGGGAACACAGTTTATTCACATTTGTGTCCCCTGTACTTGGCATACAGTACAGGTTTCAATAAACATTTGAATATAAATGGATTAATTACCACGTGATCTTAAAAAATGACTACTCAGATCCAAAAAAAAAAGGAATAGAAGGAGATGCCTAAAATCTTTACTGTGATGTTGGGCCAGTCAATTGATTAAACATTGATCTTTAAAGGATCCCTTGATTTATCCATCAATATTTTATTGGTTATCTGCTATGTGCTGGACACTGAGCTAGACACTAAGGACCCAGCATTGAATAAGACAAACATCTATAAGTTGTCCTCAAGAATTCACAAATCCAGCAGATATCTAGTTAGCCTAATAAACAATTTTGGAGAACTCAGTTGAGGGTCTGGAAATAAAATATATTAAAAAGTTAGTAGTCGTTTTGGCAGCACAAATACTAAAATCAGAACGATACAGAGAAGATTAGCATGGCTCCTGTGCAAGGATGACACCCAAATTCAGGAAACATTTCATATTTATACTTAACAAAAGGAAGACAAAGAATCCAATATAAAAATGAGCAGAGGAACTAAATACACACCTCTACAAACAGGACATACAAGTGGCTAAGAGACATATGAATAAATGCTTAACATCACTAATCATCAGTTAGATGCAAATTAAAACAACAATGAGGTATCACCTCACACCTGTCAGAATGGTTGCCCTCAACAAATTATCAACAAGTGTTGGCAAGGCTGTGGAGAAAAGGGGACTCTAGTACACTGCTGGTGGGAATGCAGACTGGTGCTCCCACTATGGAAAACAATATGGTGTTTCCTCAAAAAGTTAAAAATGAACTTCCATTTGACCCAGTGATCCCACTTCTAGGAATATATCCTAAGAAGCCTGAAACACCAATCAGAAAGAATATGTGTACCCCTATGTTCATAGCAGCACTATTTACACTAGCTAGGATCTGGAAACAGCCCAAGTGTCCATCAATAGATGAATGGAAAAAAAGCTATGGTATATATACACAATGGAATACTATCCAGTTGTAAGAAAGAAGATCTCTTATCCTTTGAGACAACAATGGAGGAACCTGGAGAGAATTATGCTAAGCCAAATAAGCCAATCGGTGAAAGACAAACATCACATGATCTCACTTATTTGTGGAATATAGTGAACAATACAAGCCGATGAACAAAACAGACCCAGAGACATAGAAGTAGGGTACAGACTGACAAACCTCAGAAGAGAGGGGCAGGCAGGGGGAGAAAAGAGATAAACCACAGAACTTATATGCATGTATGCATAACCAATGGACATAGACAACAATGTTGGGGGTAGTGGGATCTGGAGGAGGGTGTTAATCAGGGGGAAAGGAGAAACATTTGTAACAAAAATAAATTAATAAAAAAAGAAGAAAAAACACTTTAAAAAAGTTAGAATGCTTCTTAGTCTGGTTTGATTTGCTTACAATAAATTGATCACCTTGCAAATCCTTGGTGTAACAAGCATGTCCTTCCCTGAGAAATACAGAGCATAAATGCAGCTAAACTTGCTCTATTTTGGGCACTGAATCTATAGCCATAGAAAGGACTGTATCTGCAAGGAAAAAAGAATGTTACTGATCTGAAGAGACTGCAAAAATAATTGAAGACCACCCACTTCCTTAATTGACTTTGTATAAAGAAAATGAAAGCCCATTACCCATATTGTCAGTTGCCTCACATCTCTGGAGCTGGGGCAGCAATGGAATAATGAAAAACTTGCCTGGTTGGTGTGTCTCCGTGGTTGAGCATCAACCCATGAAGGAAGAGGTTGCTGGTTTGATTCCTGGTCAGGGCACATGCCCACGTTTGGGCTTGATCTACAGTAGGGGGCATGCAGGAGGCAGTCAATCAATCTTCTCTCTCCTCAGTGTTTCTATCCCTGTCTTCCTCTCCCCTTTTCTCTCTAAAATCAATTAAAAATATTTTTTAAAAAATAATGAAACACTCATTACTGCAGAAACAGTTAACATCAACTTTGACACTGTGTGTCAAGTGAGGTTTGGGCCTGATATGTTTCCTAAGAGTTTCTCGAACTTAACTACAACATTAAGATAGCCAAATGCAAAGGGGTAAATCTCTACATTGTTTAAATGCTCACCTAAAGATATGTTTATTAATTTTTGAGAGAGACGAAGAGAGAGAGACAGACAGGCAGGCAGACAGACAGACATGTGAGAGAGAAAAATTCATTGTTTGTCCCCCATACGCTCCCCGACTGGGGATAGAACCCGCAAACTAGATATATGCCCTGACCAGAAATCATACCTGCCACCTTTTGGTATACGGGACAATGCTCCAACCAATTGAGCTGCCCAGCCAAAGCAACATTTTTTTTAAGTTTTTTTTTTTCTTTATTGATTTTAGAGAGAGAGGCAGGAAACAGGAGAGAAAGACAGAAACATCGATGAAAGAGAACATTGTTTGGCTGTCTCCCACTAGGGATCCAACTCACAACCTGGGAATGTGCCCTGACCAGGAATCGAACTGGCGACCTCTTGGTGCGTGGGTTGATGCTCAACCACTGAGCTACACCGGCTGGGCAAAAGCAACATTTTTAAAAAATATTTTTGTATTCATTTTTAGAAAGAGAGAGAGAAACATCTATGTGACATTGAAACATCAATCAGCTGCCTCCTGTACGCCTCCTACCCAGGATTGAGTCTAAAACCAGGGCATGTGCTCTGACTGGGAATCGAACCAGCAACATTTTGGTGCACCAAACAACACCCAACCAACTGAGCCATACCAGCCAGAGCCAGGGTAACATTTTTAAAGGGGGCCTAATGATATTCATTCGAGTGATTTGAGTAGCTTTGAGCTGAACTAATGCTAGAAAAACACTTATTTGACTTCAATTGGAAAAATGCTATGAGAAAGGTGAAGTGGTAAACTCCAATATGGGAGAGACAGTATCATCCAGAGGTCCAGAGGAATTTCGCACTGAAGTAACCTTGGTAGTTATTATGGAATCTTTGGACATCAGAGGAAACCCCCATTTTATTTATTTATGCAACTTAACAAATATTTATTGAGCATCTACTATACATCAGGCACCATCGTAGGTGCTAGAGATACAGCAGTGGTGGTGGGAGGCAGATGAAAATTCCCAGCCTGATGGAGATTGCATACTATTGGGTAAATATTTGTCGAACAAAGGTGAGCTGCTCTGCATGTATGCAAGAATACCTGCTGGGCTTATGGTCAGTCTCACCTCCACCCACTTCACCCTCCACCCACAGAAAGGTCTGGCAATGGCAATTAGAGATGTTGGGTTCCTTTACAAATTCAGTAACTTTGGAAGAACTACACTGGATAGTTATGTCAAATCATGGTGAAACTGTCTTGGCCCATAGGTGCAATTTGTGTTTCTCCCTAAACACAGACCTTGCCTTTCAGGACTTGAAGGCTGTAAATGGAATCATTCTCAGGAACCATAATTAAGCTCCTCTGTTAGCATTTTCAAATCTTGAGTGTGCCCCTTGGGCATTTGGAGAGCATTTAGCACACTCAGCAGCCTCTGCAACAGAAGCCAAAGTGGCAGCAGGAGTGCATTCCATAAAAGCAGCTCTCTTCCTAGAGCCCATAATTAGAATGTGTTAACTACATCCTCTTTGCATCTGGTACACAGCAATTCAAGGGTGACAGAGGCAGAATGGAAATGGGATCCATAAAATGTTCTGCTATCTGTAAAGGTAAGAAGTTGGTCTTTATTCTCACTTGTGCACTGGAAGTTAAGTTTTTTTTTTCCTGCCATAGATTAGACACCTACAAAAGCCATGCTATTCTCAGAGCAAAGAATTCTATGTAAAACACCAGTTTCTGACACATCATAAGAGTACAAAAAATGACAGCTATCATCATCATCACCATCATCATTATAATATTATCACTTCACAGTCTTACAGAGAATGCAGTACTATAGAAGAAAACACATTGAACCGAGAGGAGTTCAAATGTGTGATCTGGTTTTAAAACTAAATAGTCATGGGTCTTTGAGACGCTCACTTAATGTTAAGACTGGGACGAGTCCCATGGCACAATAAAAAAAAAAAAAAAAAAGCAGTCTTTGGCAATAGGAAATAAGGAGGAGAGAACAAGTAGAAGGAATCACAAATGGAGCAGATTGGGGCTAAGGAACAAATAATCCAGTTGCATAGTGTGACTGAATATCCAGGTCTGCTCTTCACCCTGCTCTGTGACATGGGAGGCTGACCCATATAAATTGCATTAATGGGCTCGCTTGCCTCCTGACTTCTCATTGTATTTGGCACCAACCGGAGATTGGAGGTAGAGAGGAGAGTAAAGTTGGAATATTGATTTCCCAGGCCCTCTTTTGATGAGTGGCGTGCTGGCAACGGCTGCTTCCCTCGACTGAAAGCCACTAGCTCCTATAAAGCCAAAGTCTTCATAGTGTTCTTCGATCCTTGGCCTTTCAGGCCTAAGTGGGTAATGGCTATCTGCTGTTACTATCAGAACAGTACTACCCCACCTATTGTAAGGTTCCCACACTCTACCCACACCTTTGCAAATAACCCCTTTGTGAAATTATCCAGATTACCAGATTACTCAATGTGAGAGTGCCCAGACCTTAACTGATAAACCTGGGTGGTGATTTGTACTATATCCCAAGCCTAGAGCAACATCAGCATCCTGGTGGCATAAGACATCTCTCCTTTTTGTCCTTTAAGCCCTTAGCACAGTGCTTTGCATAGATAGGCACCCAGTAAAGATTAGTTAAATTAATAAATTTATGAACTTGGGTGAGGATAGATTGGTTATCTAAAGGAAATAGGTAATTCAGGTACAATTCTGGTCATCAGGAGTCCAGGGAAAGCCAATCTGATAAATGGAGCAGCTTCATGACAGGTGTGTAGGATTTAGGAAGAGTAGTATCCAGCTCTCAAAAGAAGGCTTGCAGAAATTGAGCAAGGATAGTATCAAAGACCCTAGTCACTGAGATTGAAGGCAGGGCCAAAATATGTGTATTTAAGGGCAGACAAAGCAGCAATGCACAGTTAGATTTAATTATTAGGATTGTTGTTGTTGTTGTTGTTGTTGTTCAGAGAGGTGGGAGAGAGAGAGAGAGAGAGAAACATCGACATGAAAGGGACACGTCAAGTTGTTGCCACCCGCACGACCCAACCAGGGCTGGGGACAAACTGTAACCGAGGCATGTGCCCTTCGTGGGAACCGAACCCGGGTCTCTCTGGACTGCAGGCTGACGCTCTAACAGCTAAGCCAAACCAGCCAGGGCTAATTATTAGGATTTTTGATGAAGAATGTCCTGACTGATCAACATAAGGTCTGAGATCTACTGAGCAGGAGTAAAGGAGTCTAATTCACTAGGCTGACATAGTTCGAACACTCTTTTTTTAAAAAAAAAAAATATTTTTAAATTGATTTTAGAGAGAGGAAAGGAGAGGGAGAGCGATAAAGACATGGATGAGAGAGAACATCTTTTGGCTGCCTCCTACATGCCCC